GAAAAAAAAACTAATTACTCACAAGTGATACCAAGTAATTGTTTCCTTATCTCTCCAGTACCTAAGTGGCTATGCGGATGGTTGCAGGCTAGAACCAGGTAGAACACAGTCTGCAAATTAATGTCTGCCGGGCAATCTTTTCACTGACAGGAAGTGGAGCCAGGATACAGCAATGAAGGTAGTGTGCTGAATCGCATCTGAGATTTTTTTGTTTTGTTTTGTTTACTTTTTTGTTTTAAATTAATTTTAGAGAGAGAGGAAAGGAATGGGAGAGAGAGATAGAAACACTGATGAGAGAGAAACACTGATTGGCTGCCTCCTGCCCAGACCCTAATGGGGATCAAGCCCACAACTTGGGCATGTGCCCTGACCAGGAATTGACCCAACGACCCTTGGTGTATGGGTCGGTGCTCAACCACTGAGTCACACAGGCTGGGCCATGGTCTTAATTTTTTGACATTTTTCTAATCTGTGAAATCCAAAAGTCTGGGAATTATTGAATAGTCAAATCTCTCCTTTTATAGCTGAAGCAGTTAAGGCTCAGAAGTAGGGACATGAGTGGCCCAAGAACAAACACCCCAGTTTAGTCAGATAAGACTGATGGCAGCTATGTGCAGGACATTCTTCCAACTGCCCCTTTCCGCCTTTGCATTGTGCTTAAAGCAGGGTGTACGCCACATCAGCACCTTCCAAGCAAACCAGATCCTACACAGAGGAGCCTTTTAAAATCTATATTCTAGAGGACTTCCGGTCAAGATGGCGGGTAGGTAAACACGGTACTCGCCTCCTCCTGTAACCACATCAAAATGACAACTAAACTACAGAACAAACACCCTTCAGAACTGCCTGAAATCGAGTTGAATGGAAGTCCTACAACTACGGAATTAAAGAAGCAGCCATGCCCTGCCCGGTTTGGCTCAGGGGTTAGAGTGTAGGCCTTCGGTTCCTGCTAGGGGCACGTACCTCGGTTGCAGTTTGTCCCCGGCCCTGGATGGGTCATGTGGGTGGCAGCCATTCAATGTGTCCCTTTCGCTTCGATGTTTCTCTCTCTCTCTCCCCCTCCCACTCTATCTGAACAAAAAATGGGAAAATGTATTCGGGTGAGGATGAAAAAAAAAAGAAGCAGCCATATCGAGACTGGTAGGAGGGGCGGAGGCGTGGTTGGGCTGGCCCCACACCCACGTGTGGCAGATAAAAATCAGGAGGCTACCTCGGCTGGGAAGGTCCTCCCTGAGTGAGGGGTCCCTGTCCAACACCAGGATCCCAGCTCAGGGTTCCAGTGCCAGGAAGAGAAGTCCCCGTCACTTCTCTCTCTAAAACCAGCGGGAACTGAGGCAGAGGGAGGCTGAACCTTCTGGAGCCCCAGGCAGCTCCTCTTAAAGGACCCACACACAGATTTACTCAGACTTGCTCCCTCTGACCTCCAGCACGGAGGGGAGGCAGTTTGAAAAGCACCAGAGATATACAAGGAAGAACTTAGTTGTTTGGCATTGGGGTGAGAGCTGGAGAGGCAGTTTTCTCCCGGACAGGCACACTGGTAGAGGCCTTTGATCCTTTGTGAGCCCTCCCCCCACGAGTCTGGCAGATGGTCTGCATATCTGGGACTACAGCAACCAGGCTCACACTGTTTGCCCCACCCTGGTGATTACCTGAGGGCCTGCCCCATCCAACTTTTGGGCCCACTCAAGCTGTTTCCCGTGGCTTTACCATAGAATTGGCCTGTTTTGGCTCCTGCTTCAGATTCTCTTAAATTATCTCAAACAAGCATCATCTGGCCACAATGAGCCCCATACCTCTCGGTAAGTGGCCCCAGGCCTGGCACTAGAAGCAGCTAGCCCAGGTTCACAGCTTGGCTTTGCCTGGGTACCTTCAAGCCCAGCACAAGAAGCAGCCATCAGCTGATTGCTTTGTAGTTTATACCTGGTGGCCCTGGGTAGAACACAGGCAGTGGCTGACCTTGCCCCAGAGCCAGCACACCTGATGGATAACTTAAGACCACATCAAAGCATCACCACTCAACCACCTCCACAAGTGACACACTCAAGGAATGGACTCAGTGAGTACCAGAGCCCTGCTGAAGTAAGTCTTGCTCTGTGCAGTGGGCCCCTGCACAGCTGGTCATCCAAGATAGTCAAAGGTTGGTGGTTAATGGGCACAGCCAGTCCTTACAGCTGATCAATCTGAGTAAAACCCTCCCATTAATGTGCCAATAGCAATCAAGACTCAATTACAACAGAAGGGTATAAAGTCCACACAAGGGGTGCACCTCAAGGGCCCAGCTGGGGTGACCAGGGAGGCTGTGCCACTGGGCCCTACTACAATAGGCCACCCTAGGAAGCCTAGGAGACTATACCTAATACATAGACACAAACACAGGGAGGCAGCCAAAATGAGGAGACAAAGAAACAAGTCCCAAATGAAAGAACAGAACAAAACTTAGGAAAAGAACAAAACGAAATGGAGATAAGCAATCTAACAGATGCAGAGTTCAAAACACTGCTTATAAGGATGCTCAATGAACCCAGAATTTCAAGGAACTTCGTGAGGACCTCAAGAGCTAATAAAGAACCAGTCAGAAATGAAGAATGCATTAACTGAAATAAAGAATAATTTATAGCAAATCAATAGTAGAGCAGGTGAACCCAAGAAGCAAACCATCAATTTGGAATATAAGGAAGCAAAAAACCCAATCAAAACAGAAAAAAGAAAAAAGAATCCACAAAAATGAGGATAGTATAAGGAGCCTGTGGGACAACTTCAAGTATACCAACATTCGCATCATGGGGGTGCCAGAAGAAGAAGAGAGTGGGCAAGCAATTGAAAACCAATTTGAAACAATAATGACAGAAATCCTGATGAAGGAAACAGACATACACGTTCAGGAAGCACAGAGTCCCAAACAAGATGAACCCAAAAAGGTCCTCACCAAGATACATCATCATCAAAATGTAAAGGTTAAAGACAAAGAGAGAATCTTAAAAGCAGCAAGCAAAAAGCAATTAGTTACCTACAATGGAGCTCCCATAAGGCTGTCAGTCGATTTCTCAAAAGAAACTTTGCAGGCTAGAAAGGAGTGGCAAGAAATAGTCAAAGTGATGAAAAGCAAGGACATAAAACCAACATTATTCTATACTGCAAAGCTATCATTTAAAATTGATGCCCATATAAAGAGTTTCCCAGACAAAAAAAAGCTAAAGGAGTACATTACTACCAAACCAGTATTATATGAAATGTTGACGGGTCTTCTTGAAGAAGATAAAATATGAACAATAAAATAACAATAAATACATATCTATCAACAATTGAATCTACAAACAAAATGAGCAAGCAGAACAGAAACAGATTCATAGATACAGAGAACTTTTTATTGGTTGCCAGACTGGCGGGTGGGGCTGGGTGAAAAAGATGAAGGGGTTAAGAAGTACAAATTGGCTCTTTCCCTGTCGCCGCAGAGTTGCGCGGAAGCACAGGCTTGGGTGCGTTCAAGATTCGGCTCTAGCCCTGGCCGGTTCTGCTCAGAGGTTAGAGCAACGGCCTGCAGTCCAGAGGGACCCAGGTTCAGTTCCCGCTAAGGGCTCATACCTCGGTTGCAGTTTGTCCCCTGCCCTGGATGGTTCGTGTGGGTAGCAACCACTCAATGTGTCCCTTTCATGTCCATGTTTCTCTCGCTCTCTCCCTCCCACTCTATCTGAACAAAATATCGAAAAATGTCCTCGGGTGAGGATAAAAAAATAAAATTAAAAAAAAAAAGATTCGGCTCTACCCATAACCCACTGCCATGGCCTAGGAAGGCATTGCTGCTGGAGGTGTAATGGATGTTAACACAGCTTTACAAGAGGTGCTGAAGACCGCCCTCATCCACGATGGCCTAGCGCGTGGAATTCCGAAGCTGCCAAAGCCTTAGACAAGCGCCAAGCCCACCTTTGTGTGCTCGCATCCAATTGTGATGAGTTGGTGGAGGCCCTTTGTGCGGAACACCAAATCAACCTCATCAAGGTTGATGACAACAAGAAACTAGGAGAATGGGTAGGCCTCTGCAAAATTGACAGAGAGGGAAAACCCCGAAAGTGGTTGAATGCAGTTGTGTGGTGGTTAAGGACTATGGCAAAGGATGTCATCGAAGAGTACTTCAAATGCAGGAAATGAACAAATAAACTTGGTTTTTGTTTCTCAAAAAAAAAAAAGTACAAATTGGTTGTTAGATTGACGAACCTCAAAGGGAACCGGGGAGGTGGGGCAGGAAGAGAGAAACCAAAGAACTTCTATGCATATATGCATAACCAATAGACACAGACAATAGTGTGGGGAAGGCAGGAGCGGGTGGGAGTGCGGAGGAGAGGGTCAAGGGGGAAAAATGGAGAGACATCTGTAATACAAGCAACAATAAAGATAAGTTGAAAAATGAAAAAAAAAAAGTGTATATGTGTGTGTGTGTGTGTGTGTGTGTGTATACATATATATATAGTAGCCCACTCTTCCAAAGCACCCCCAAACCAATGGCACCTAGCACCATTTCTCTACTCCACCACTTTCTTCACCTCAGTATATCTGACCCTTAGCCCCACCCATTACCTACTTCTGAGCCTTTTCTTTACTTCAAAAATAGTTGGCTTTGGAGTATATACTGGGGTCCTGATACTGTTTCAAACCAGTAATTATAGATTTTATTATCCATTTCATAATCCACTGTATCCATTGTATGTATCTATTATTCCTATGCATCTCTGCTTCTCCACCTAGATTTTCAACAGTTATGCTTCATCTTCCTCCTTCTAGTAGCTAGTGTATCCCACTACATTAGGTACTCTCATATATGTGGAATTAATTAATAATGAATAAATTAACACATTCTTTGCACAAAGAATATTTTAATAATTCCAAAAATACAGAAACATCTTCACTGTGGTCCTCTTGGTTTACAAATGACAGGAACCAGGGGCCCAGACCTGGATGGGAACGAGGAGGAAGCCCTAGAAAACCATTTATTCCTGGGACTCTGGTTAGTTTTATTTGTAAATGGGAAAGGAAGAAACATGAAGTAGAGGCAAGAGGAAGAAGAACGGAAAAATCCCAAGGGAGGAGAGGAGTTTTGGAATGACTCCACAGCAGGCCTGCACCCGGTCTCATCCCAGGTGACATCCTGTTATCCAGTAGGAGAGGGGCCGGCCTGCACAGTGCATCATCCACTCTGCCCTGTGGAGAGAAAACGACTGGTTCTTGCTTCCCACATAGTAGCTGCTTCTCCACACACGTGACCCAGCTCTTAGTGAGTCGTCCACTCACTAAGAGCGACCTACTTCCTAGCTCTCTCATCTATCTTTCTGGGGCCCCTCTGATTCTTCCTTTAATTCTCCCCTGTCCATGGTGTTTGCACTGTCCCCCCAGTCAGCATGCCTTGACATTTCAAACCCTTATCGCCCTCTGAAGGGGGAGAACGTTTTTACAGAGCTGAGAGTTACCAAAATATATATATTAAAAAATATATATATGTGTGTGTGTGTATATATATCTATATATCTCCTAGGTGTAATCATTGACTCTCCCTCCAGAAAGGCTGAGCCCTAATTGTGTCTCTTCTGGTGCAAGGTGTTTTAAGGGTATGCGAGGCACCACACTCCGTCCATCCTCACAGATGCCTGTAGAGGCAGCCATTTGCATTATTTATATATCCAGTTGAAAGCACAGAAAAGTTAAGGAACCATCCCAATGTCCAGTGTTGGTGGGCTGATAGCTTTAGGGGTACTGCTAGGTGATGAGCAACACATTCTTCTTTTTTTTTTTTTTTTTTTTGTGGTATGTGCCCCTAACAGGAACCGAACCTGGGACTCTCTGGTCCGCAGGCTGATGCTCAACTGCTAAGCCAAACTGGCCAGGGCAAGCAACACATTTTTATAGAAAACGTTGCTGCCAATTATGGAGAGAGGAACCCTGTGGCAGCCATGATTGTATTGCTTTAATTTTTCCCATGCTTACAGCTGATTGAACCAAGTAGGGACACAGGGCCCAAGCTGAACCAATTGGATTCCCTATTCCAGGCACTTAGACTGACTGACTGATCTTAGCCAGCCTCAGTGGTTGCTTAGGATGGTAAACCATGAACTCGGGTGGCCGAAGTCTGTTTTGTGGACTGTGGAGCAGGGAAAGCTGGTCTGCAGAGGGAGCAGTGAAGCAAATGCCCCGAGAACCAGAAACCCGCCAGGGATAGCTTGCTGACAGGTTTCAGCCCAACTTCCATTCTCTTCCTGAGGCCCAGCTGCACCCCTTGCGTGGGCTCAGCAAGTCACCGTGTCCTCTCAGAAAAACTCCCTCGGCTAGCTCCAGTTGTTTTATAACTGCAACCAAAAGACTTTTCTTTAATATAGTATCAGAGAAAGAACTAGATGCCAGGTCTTCAAGTCAGAGTTCCAAGCCCTGTCACTATCCCACACTTTTCTGGACCGCAGAAAGGTTTGGTCCTTTTGCCTGCTGTCCCTTTCTCTGTCACCACACCCTTCTTAGGGCTCTGCCTGCTGACTTAGCCCTACAGTGTCCTCCTCACCAGTTATGCATCCCCCCTGCTCTGGACACAATCTTTTTTGCACAGTGGATGGCTGCGAGAAGACTGGGGTTCAGCAGTTCTGCAAAGGAAAAAGAGAATACCTGTGACAGCCCAGAGGACAGTCCCAAAGACTGAGGCAGACACGCACTCTCCCTGCCCAGACATGTGTCTCCTGGGGGCTGAGTATTTCCAGATTAGGCAAGGCCTCCCTCCCAGAGGCCCATTTAGACACCCCTACAATGGCTGCTGGAGGTCAGGGGTGGCCGAGGGTGGGGGCAGGAGGACTGAGATTTGGGCCTGTTTACTACCATAGTTTTTGGCCAGAGTAGATGGTGGTTCACCCAAAGTTTGGGAGTGTCTAGGGAAAGGAAATGCCAAAACAGGGAGCACGGAGACCACAGTAAAATCCTGCCTAATGAGGGAGGCTCTACAGGTGAAGATCCAGGAACATTAATCAGAGTACAAAAGAGGAGGTGAGGGGCAGAGTCATGCACCTGTGGAGCCTCCTGGATCAGCTCTGAAATGAGGAGTTTGCCCTCGGCCTTTGGTCAGATCCTTAGCCAAAGACAGTACCACTGATTGGTTAGAGCTAAGCCTCCAGGATCACCAGTCTGGCCACCACTAATTCTATAAGCCTCAGTTTGCTCTTCTGTGCAGTGGGAATAATGATTTTTACTGCATAGAAACTTGGCCGAGTCAGCTATGCACGTAAAGTGCTTAGTATATAACATGCTCTCAATAAATGTTGGCTGCTGCTCTACTGCTTCAGGCTGTGCGAAGCCTTTCTGGATCCTGCTGGCGGACACGAAGGAACCTCCTGACTGGACGGGCATTAGGGCCACCAGTCAAACCTGCTCAGTAAGGAATTCCCTGGTCCCTTATTCTCAGACTGTGAGTAGAAAGAGAACTTCTGTGAGCAGAGCTCAATCATCACTCTCCCCTCCCCACCGGGGGGCCCTGGCCAGACCTCGACACTCCACGTGGCAAGTGTTTTCCGAGTGACTCAAGTAATCGTTGCACCAGTAGTGGCTGTTGATCTGGAAGATGCCATAGTCAAAGCTGCCATCTGCATTTTCAGTTACCTTTGATATGTTGAAATTGCTTTCCACAAAAGCCAGGCACACCCCTTAGAGAAAAAAGAGAAGAGGGTGTTGGTGGGGGTGGCAAGCTGAGGGAGAAGGGAGATGAAGGGAAATGAGGAATCAAAAGAAAGGAATAAGGCCTAAGAGGCTAGATGGAGCTAGTGGGCTAGAAACACCCCCTAGCTTCTCTCATTTTTCGGTGCATCCACCCACTCATCAGTTTAACTATCTGTCCATCCGTGCTTCTGGCACTTAATAATCACCTACTGTGTGCCAGGAACTGTGCAAAGCCCAGCAAGGGACATTTATTTGGGTCAAATGCAGATACTGCCTTCAAAGGGCCTCTAGTACATGAATGAAGATATGTCCCTAACAAACCATGAAGCAAATTAAAGGAAGAAAGTGTTGTGAGACAGGTGTGCACAATTTCTGGGCAAAAGAAAGCTCTCCCTAACATGCAACAGAATGAAGCCTTTCCATTGTTCCCTCTGCCTGGAACGCTCTTCCCCTAGACATTTGGGTGACCAGGTCCTTTGCTTCATTCAGCACTGCTCAATGTCACCTCCTCAGAAAGGCCTTCCTTGACTCGCCCTTCTAGAACCATGTCACCTATCACACCCCCTGCTAGATTCTTCTGCAGAGCACTTATCACCATCAGGTTTTATATATTTTTGTATTTGTTAATTGCTTGTCTCTTCCCCAGAATGTGAACACTATGAGGGAAGGGGCTTTGTTTATATCCCCAGCACCTAAAATTGCTCCTGGTATATAATAAATACTCTACGAATAATTGTTGAATGAATATGGAATGTGGGGAAAGGTTTCTTGGAGAGGGCTGCTTTTTGAATTTGGCTTTCAAAGACAAAGGAGAGAAAGAAAGATGGCCCCGTAGGAGATGGCCAGGAGAGGAGAAATGGGGGTGGGGTGTGAGGAAATGGCACTCACAGTCACTCAGGGAGTAGCCCTCAAACCCATCCAAGTCTTCCTGGTGCAGCACCTTGGCCAAGTCACAGCGGCTGATTAGGCTGGCCTGATGTATGACAACCAGGCAGCTGAACAAGGAGAGGAATAACACCCTTGTCATCCTCAGAGGGGAGAAGGTCAGCTGAGGGCCTGCGGTTCTTGGGGTCTCACAGATTGCTGATTTTCTCTGATAGTCTGAGGAATCTGGAGAGAGAAACCAAGTATCTTCCCTCACTCACTCTTCCCCACCTGGCTGTTTCCAGTCTCTTCTCGGTGATTACATGGTATTCTGGCTAGGGATGCAGAACCTATATCTAATCCCAAGGAAACATCAGACAAAGCCAAACAGAGGCTATAGAATAACTGGCCTGTATTCTTCAAAACAGTCAATGCCATGAAAACAAAGAATGGGGCTATTTCTGTCATTAGTGGGGTGTGTGTGTGTGTGTCTTTCCCCTTAAACCAGGTGTCTGTTCCTGAGGACAAAGGCCTCGGTTTCCCCATCCACCAGCTCCATGAGTCAGGCATGAAGCAGCTTCTGCTTGGACAAGGTGGCTGCCCTGATGGCCTTGTCTCCTCACAGATCTGCTCTGTCGTCTGGGACTCTGCATGCCATCCTGAGCTTGCGGCCTTTCTTTTGTTTCTCTCTCCCACCCTAGAGTTGTCAGACTTAGCAAATAAAATCACAGGATATCCAGTTGCATTAGAATTTCAGACAAACAAGTACTTTTTTAGTATAAGTGTGTCACATGCAACCCTACCCTGTCCTGATTCAGCAGGTTCCTTCAGAGACAGGTGTCACTGAGCCTTAAGAAGCAATGAAGTCACTCTTGGGGTCCCCTTGGGGAAGACGGTGGTTCTGGCAGGTGCATTCCTACCTCCTCTTCTGAAGCTTACCTCTCTCCTATCCCTCTCTGACCCCAGGTCCCAGCCGGCCCAGGGATTTCTATGAGAATCTGTAAAGCAAAGCTGTTTGGATAGGAGCCTCCTCTTCCTCGTGAGCTATTTTCTAAGCCCACCCAGCTCACAGCTCCATGTTCTAAAGAAGATGGGAATGCTGGGCAACCCCCATCCCCCAACCCCTGTCTCCTGGAACCCCAGTTCTGTGACCTCATCACTCTCCTGGAAATACTCTGGTCTTAACCATGCAAGTTGGCTGTATCTTGAGGTCTACTGCAGCTCCAGGCAGAAATGGCAGATGGGCCTGGAAGGATAGGTGACAACTCTGATGAAGACCAATGGGTGGGCCCGGCTCGTGTGGCTCAGCGGTTAGCACGTCAGCCTGTGGACCAAAGAGTCTCCAGTTTGATTCTCAGTCAAGGGCACATACCTGGGTTACAAGTTCAACCCCCAGTTGTGCAGGAGGCAAGCAAACATCTCTCTGACATCAATGTTTCTCTTTTTCTCTCTCTACTTCGCTGGGGTGAGGATTAACACCTAAAAAAGACCACAGGGTGGGACAGGGTAGAGCCCTGGTGGTTCTGGCTGTCCATTTCCCTCCCCTCTGGGACAGTGCCACCTTTGGGGGAGTTCCAGCCCCCACAGAGTTTTAGTGGGGGCTGCCAGTCACAGGTGACAGTGTAGCTTGAACTGAAACGAAGTGGAACAACTCAGCTTCTCACGGGAAGCCTGCAGGCGTGAGGCTGGAGGCTGAGTTAGGAAAGTGTAGATCCAGCCCATCTGAGAGGATAAGCCTCCTCGAGCAGGAAGCAGAGTCCAGACAGCCTGCCAGTCCCAGCATCCACCTTTTCTAAACACACTCTTGCCTTTACTGCAATCTTGCCATTCAATAAAGGTCCCTTCTTCAGAAAACAAGTTTGAGTTGGGTTTCTGCCACTTGCAGCCAAAAGAGACCTGCCTAGTAGTCAGCGTGGGGTTAACCATCTATGGATTGATGACCTGACAGCCTGTTACCTCCCCATGAAGGCCACACAACTCAGTATCATTAATCACCAAGGAAGTTTCGAAGATATTTCTACCAACTGCAACAAAAAGGAGGCAAGACAAAGTTGTATTACCGATGGCCCTCTGAAACAGGATGGCAGGGTCTGACAGAAAGAAGGTAGGAAGCGCTTTCTAGCTGGGCAGCGCTGCCTGTACCCTCCACCTGCAGACTTCTCCCAGCAGGGCAGCAGCACAGTGCATCTTGGGATGTGAAGCCAGGGGGAGCTGGGGTGGAGGTAGAGCCCCGGGAGAAGGGTGTCTTGGGGTACCACTTTATGAGCTACCATTTATGGCCAAAAATCTATAGGTGTCTCAGATGACCCAAATAGACTCATCTGCACAGGACTAGAGCTCTGGGTGGGAGGAGAGGCTTCCACATGCTGGAAATTTGGCCTGGTGAGGGTCTCCCTGTAGTTTAAAATCTTAAAGGGGATAATCTCAGCATTCAAAGGGGGACTGGAAGGACCCTCTACCCCCATCTCCCCAAATGTGATAGACATGAACACTGTGTGGATTCCTACCCACTCAAAGAACTGAAAAACCCAAGCTAGAGTCTATGAATAAATTCTGATGTCAAAGCCGGGGGCAAGAAAGCAAATGGAGGCCCCAGATCACCTGTATAAATATTTACAAGTTATAAATCAAACTAACAAGCTGCTAAATGAAATGTGTTCTATCCTCATCTGGCCGATGTGGCTCAGTGGTTGAGCGTTCACCCACGCACTGAGAGGTCACCTGTTTGATTCCTGGTCAGGGCACATGCCCAGGTTGTGGGCCCGATCCCCTGCAGGAGGCAGCTAATCAGTGTTCTCTCTCATTGATGTGTCTGTCTCTCTCTCCCTCTCCCTTCGTCTCTCTCTGAAACCAATAAAGGAAAAAAAATTTTTTTTTCTTAAATGTATTCTATCCTCATATTCTGACAAATATTCCTTTAAAAGGATGAAAATTTAAATATGTATAAAGTTATGGTTTGTATATGACTGAAAGGTAACAAAATATCAAAAATAACCATATTTGATTTTTATTGCATGTGTCTGAGTGCTCTATTGCTATTGATTGTCTAGCCATGTTGGGATGAGTAATTAATATATACATAATTCATAAATGATTATAACTATTCCATTAAATTTATTTTTATCTTTCTTTCACCAAAATCACTATGTTATTATCAAGATTCTAAAATATAATTAAGGATTAAAAACAATTACAGTCAAAGTATAAAAATTTAAATATATTTTCATAAAAATATAAATTTCTGTAAAAAATTTTTAATTAAATATTTTTAATGTTTTTCCAAATATTACCTTTTAAATATTGAAAATTATTTAATAATTCAAAAGGCTAAATACAATTAGAATTAATGCATATCAAATTTTTATATCAAAATTATTTGCATAAATCCAAACATTTTACTTCACTCTTTGAAAGCTTAATTCAGTTTTAAGTACTTTCAACTTTAAAATTTAAATTATAAATTTAATTTAAATTTTAATTTAAAACTTAAGTAACTTTCTAAGCAAAAATGTTAAAATTTATAATTTTAGCATTCAATGTCCATCTAGTTGTAAATGTAAAGAATCTGTATCATATTATGTCTAAAGTGTAGACATATAGACACATTTCAGAGTAATGTGTAATGTGATTTATGTAATATTGCAAAAATGTCCTCGACTTCCATTTACAACTGAGGCAAATACAGTACTAATTCGTGTGACCTCCAGAAGCACTAATAGGAACACAAGAAGAAATGGTACTCTCAGCATTATTAGAAAACGCTACTTCATTGCACTCTCATTGCATTAATTTGTCTTTTCTCCCTCCCAAGTACTTTTCTACTCAAAGCCTCTTCGCACTCTCAAAGACTACCTAGCAGGGGCCCCATTAAGCTTTTGTTAAACCTGCAGAGGCGGTTGCATCCCCCCCTCCCCCATGGACTTAGGGTAAGAGGTGAATAACCACCACCCTCGGGCTTAAACATTGTTAGTCAAGAGAGTGGATGTTTAGGGTTAGGTCATGCTGTGCCTGGGCTCTGCGTCAGATCCTGAGTGACAGAGGTGGTGGCTGTGGTCCTTGATACATTTAATTGTATGAGGGGGACTCGAAAGTACAGGGCCCAAGAGACATATGAAGAAATGCTCAACATCACTAATCATCAGAGAGATGCAAATTAAAACAACAATGAGGTATCACCTCACACCTGTCAGAATGGCCGCCATCAACAAATCATCAAACAACAAGTGTTGGCGAGGGTGTGGAGAAAAGGGGACTCTAATACACTGTTGGTGGGAATGCAGACTGGTGCAACCGCTATGGAAAACAATATGGTGCTACCTCAAAAAATTAAAAATTGAACTTCCATATGACCCAGTGATCCCACTGCTGGGAATATACCCTAAGAAGCCTGAAACACCAATCAGGAAGAATATATGTACCCCCATGTTCATAGCAGCACTATTTACAATAGCTAAGATCTGGAAACAGCCCAAGTGTCCACCAGTAGACGAATGGATAAAAAGCTGTGGTACATATACACAATGGAGTACTATGCAGCGGTAAGAAAGAAAGATCTCTTATCCTTTGAGACGACATGGAGGGACCTGGAAAGTATTATCCTAAGTGAAAGAAGCCAAGCAGAAAAAGACAAATACCACATGATCTCACTTATATACGGAATATAATGAACATAACAGTCTGAGGAACACAGTAGACCCAGACACATGGAAGTAGGGCACAGACTGATATCCCTCAGAAGAGGGGATGGGGGGTGGGGGGGTGGGAAGAGATAAACCACAGAACTTATATGCATGTATGCATGACCAATGGACATGGACAACTAAGCCGGGGACAGGGTGGAGGGGGGTTAGGGTGGGGGGTACCAATGGGGTAAAAAGGTAAAATATCTGTAACAAAATAAATAAATAAATAAAATATTATTCAAAAAAAAAAAGAAAGTACAGGGCCCAAGTAGGGGCTCCTCTTGCCATTTCTAAAGGTGACAGTAGAAAAGTATGCTTCTGGAAATAAACTGCTATGGAAAACAGAGGGAAATGTCTGCTCTGAGTTTTCAATAACATATGAGAAAACCCTCAAATGATCCAGCCTGCTGAAATGCAGAGCACAAAGAACTAAAATCAGTGAGTGAGACAAAATCTGCACTGAAGGCAGGGAAGCAGAATCCACAATGCAGAAAATCAACTAAGGGTGCAGTTGCACATTTGAGCCGTTCCCCAAATGCAGAGCAGAGAGACGTGAAA